CAAGAAAACCAAGCCACTGGATCCGGTTTTCAACACAGTTTTATTCTGACGAAATGACCCCGTAAACGCCATTTCCCCAGCGTGATTCCAGTTATCTGAGCCGGCTTGAGGTGGCCCCGGGTTTCCCCCAGGGTGCAGAAGAGGAGTGAGGACTTTCCTTCGACGTAAACGTGCTGCCTAATTTTCGCAACAAGTTCTGCTGATCGATCTCTTCCAACATCTTCTGGTAATAGCTATATTCTTTCTTCCAACGGAAGGTCTTTTTCTGCTGGTTCTGGAGAAATCTCCTTTTCATTTGATCAAACAGATTCTCCGCCTTCTTTTTCCTACCTTCGATTTGCTGGGCCTGGGGATAAAAAAAAAAAATCAATCAGCAAAGGAAGCCAGGGCAGGAAAGCAGAAGCCAACAAATCAGTCCAGATAATCTGGGTGTGCAGATTAACATACAGACTCAGCTGCTCTCATGAACCCAGCTTTCAGGAGCAATGCTCAAAATTAAAAGCATGAGAGCAGGTTCAAGTCCAACCAAAATTTCCCTACCTAATTTCCAGCAGAATTCATTCAGCAGTGGGGGGTCATGAAGAGATGTACCCCATTTATCCTCCGAGTTTTGACATTTGGGGATATACTGCCTGTACCCGTGGAGGCTCCATTTTGCTAATCAGTGCTTACCTGTATTTCTGGCATGCTCTAATTCCTGATCCTAGCAGAATTCACGCAAGAGGTTTCAAAAGCATACCGTAATCTCCTGGATCCGCTGAACACTAACATTGTCCTGGATGATCACCTTAGCCAGGTGACTTTTGGGAAGAAATCTCTTCAAAGCAGCTTCGCCACAAGTTTGCTGACTGGAGGCGGGAAAGTCAGATGGTTAGAAGGGCAGCACCAAGGTCTCTTGCCCACAATCGCAAGTGTGACCGTAAAACAAAATCTGTGAACTTTGGCACAATCAGTTCCCCATTGTTCAGCCTCACGGACAGTTGCCAGCTTCAGGAAAAGAATGGAGTGCCCCTCACCACAAAGCCAGCTTGGCGGTCTAACCTTCCCATCTCCCACTTTCCCACCAGCCTTCCTGAACAGTTCATTTTACCCACCTTGGAAGGCTAAAAATGTATAAATAGTTTGGCAAGCTTCAGGGATGAAATAGGAAAGATTTAAGTTTTCCTCATGTGGTATAGAAATGTATTTGTGTGTGTGTGTGTGCCGTAGTAACTTCGAACTGTCACTAAACGAATTGTTGTAAGTCAAGTTGTTGCAGTCACATCCCATTGTTCAACCTTTAACTACTGCTGAACTTCTGGTCAGGAAGAACTACGACAGCCAACTCACACAACGTCCTATAACGGTGTCCAAGCTATAGTGGCAGGAAACAGTATGGCGTACATTCCAGCAGGCCGGAATGCCACCACAGAGGCAGTTGCCAGCCCAGCCCTGATTGGGGGGGGGGGGGGTGTCTGCAGTTCTTCAGCTGCAGAGTGCCTTTTGATGCCCGACAAAGCTTGGCCGACTTTTAAGTCACTGTTTTTTGTTTTGGCAATTTTTAAGATATGTGGACTTCAACTCCCTAAATACTCACGGTAGCCATAGTGGCTAGGGAATTCTGGGAGTTAAAGTCCAGACACTATCGTGGCCAAGGTCAAAAAAGTCTCATCTAAGTAGCTTCGGTAGTACAGTTCATAAATATTGAAAGCTCGGAAACTAAATATGTGGCGCTGTGGGACACCTGCTCACAGGAGGAAAGGGAGAAGGGGAAGGAGAAAAGGGAGGAGGAGGAGGGGAGGAGGAAAAGGAAGAAGAAGAAAAGGAGAAGGAGAGGGAGGAGGGGGAAGGGGAGGGGAAGGAAAAGGGGAAGGAGAAAAAGGAGGAGGAGGAAAAGAAGGAGAAAAAGGAGAGGGAGGAGCAGGAGGAGCAGGAGGAAAAGAAGAAGGAGAAAAAGGAGAGGGAGGAGGAGAGGAAGAAGGGGGAGGAGCGGCCTCCCCCCAGGCCCCCCTCGCCCCCTCCCCACCTGTACAGCACCAGCACTTGATGCTCGCGGGGCTGGAGGAAAGTCACGACGGGCTGGGCTCCCTCCGGCGCCTTCTCCATCGCCCGGGCTCCCGGCGGCTGACTCAGCCGGGCCAAGCGGGCCAAAGCGGTCACAATGGGCTCGCGCGCCCCGGTTGCCGCGGAGACCGCCGGCCGGGCTGGGCAGGGGCTGAGCGGCGTCTCCGCGCGGCGCTTCTGCTCCCGAAGCTGCTGGCCGGAGGACGGCCGGGCGAGAGCGCGAGAGAGACGGCGCGGGTAAAGCGCGGGGCCGGAGGGGGCGGGATGGAGCCTCCAGGGGTCAGAGCAGGCTACCTTAATCCGCCCAACAGCCTCCTTCACCCGCTGGACCAAGGGGCCTGCCTCCCCCCCCCATCCTGGTGGGAGAGGGATGCCTGCCCATCTGCCAGTGGGAAAGGGACCCCCAGGGGCGTTGGAACCCAGTTCCCAATATCCCCAGCCAGCATGGCCAAGGACGATGGGCTAAGGAATCTACCACCAAGAAAGCTACCCTTTCTCCCTATTCTGGAGGGAAGAAAGGCTGGCTGCAGGTGGACCATGGGACCGGGCCAGAGGCACCCAGTGCAAAAAGGATGACGGGCAAAGGAGCTGGATCCTGGTTAGAGGATGCTGATCCTGGCTAATGCCTCCCAGATCCTGGTCTTGCAGCTGGAGGCAGAGCTAAACCAAGGATCTGAATTTCAGGATTCGGCCCAGAATTACACACACACACATACACACACACCATGCCTTCTTGTTTTCATCCAAACAACACCTTGCACAACAAACCATAACAGGGTCTGATCCCACAGGGCCATGGTGCCTAAAAAGTAAGAATGCAACACAAAGGCAACAACAGCTAGCAAATGCCCCCAGGGCCAGCAACACCTTCCCCCTTAGAACCATGTTTTCCAACCTTGGCTAACTCCTTCAAGATGTCTGGACTTCAACACCCAGAATCCCCCACATCGGGCCTCATTGACCCCACGCTTCTTTCTTCCTAGGTACCCTTCACAAATTTTGACGCCGCTGGGGAGACAAAGACATGTGAAGCTTCTCTGGGAAGGCACCTTTGCAAAGGTAGGATTTTCCAGAGGGGCCAGGCTCTGTGTGTGAGGCTCACTCTCAAAACGGCCCATTTGCTGAGACCCACACTGGGAAAAAAGGCATCTGTCTAAAGGAAATAAATAAAAATAGGTTAAGGGAAAAAAGATTTGTGCCCTGGTGCCTGGTCCATGGGCACCTGAAAGCTTTGAATGATGATGCAGCAGTATATAACTCTATATAGATGAGGTTGAGAACCACTGGTGGAATGTACGGCACTCAGACAGACGAATATCATAGAATCCTAGGGCTGGAAGGTACCTTGGAGGTCATCTAGTCCAACCCCCTGCTACACCATTTCAGACAAATGGTTGTCCAGTCTCTTCTTAAAAACTTCCAGTGTTGGAGCATTCACAGCTTCTGGAGACAGATTGTTAATAAAAATAATAAAGTCGGATTGTTAATAAAAATAATAAAGTTAATAAAAATAATAAAGTTGGAGGTCTTCTAGTCCAACCCCCTGCTCAGACAGGAAATCCTACATCATTTCAGACAAACGGTTGTCCAGTCTCTTCTTAAAAACCTCCAGAGAGAAGCCATTACACTGGTTAATTACGCTCCCTGTTAAGGAGCCTTATACTACACATACATACTGTACATAACTGTTCAGGAAAAAAACAAAGAAATAGGTCAAATGTGTTGTTCTTTTTTTCCTTCCTTGCTTCGACTTTATTGGAAGACGACCCTTATGATGTCCCAGGAGAAAAAGCATCCCAGCTCCATTTGATTGGGGACTTCAGTAGATGCTGCTGGCCTTTATCCCAGAACTGATGTGACCTGCAGGTACCGGCCAGGTGGTCTCGTGAGACAAGGCTCTTTCCCCCCAATAATAGGGGTTGTGTTCCCACAATGCACATATCCTTTGAGTAGTCAGGATAAAGAAGTAACTTATATAGCAAAATGAATTCTGTAAGCTGTTTGGTTTGCCAATTTTCCTTCCCACCGTGAAAGCAATTCCTGGCAATAAATTAATCCGTCTCACCGTATAAATCCTGCAGAAAGCAGAAAATTAGATAAATTGATCTCCAGCATGTCCCTTCTGGTCTTGCGATTCCTGGATGGATTAATCACCTGTCTTTCAGATGGTCAATCAACCAACCCTTCAGGTTCTCAAGTTTTAAATTGGAAATCACACCGTTTGCAGCACAGATTGAAAACACACACATATATGGCATGTTTAGCATAGACATGCTAAACTCAACAGGGTGAAGAAAATTATATAAATGTGTAGCAAACCAATTACAGAATGGCTTAGTGTGATGTGGCAACCTACAGATAGTCCTTAACTTACAAAAGGCTACAAAGAGGAGGAAGAGGAGGAGGATGGTTGGGCCCTTGGTGCTGAGTTGGCTTGTTTTCTTGCAGACGTTTCATGACCCAAACTAGGTAATGTCATCAGTGCTAGAAGGGAGTGGGGGTTACAAAGAGGAGGAGGAGGAGGAGGGTTGGGTCCTTGGTGCTCTCTGAGCTTGCTTGTTTTTTTGCAGATGTTTCATGACCCAAACTAGGTAACATCAGTGCTAAATGAGGTAACACCATCACTAGCACTAATGATTTTACCTAGTTTGGGTCATGAAACATCTGCAAGAAAACAAGCAAGCTCAGAGAGCACCAAGGACCCCACCCTCCTCCTCCTCCTCCTCCTCCTCCTCTCTGCAAACCCCATTCCCTTCTAGCACTGATGCTGTTACTTAGTTTGGGTCAGGAAACGTCTGCCAGGAAACAAGCAAAGCTCAGAGAGCACCAAAGGCCCCACGGTCCTCCTGCTTCTTTTGATCGATGGTTGAGAATCCACCTTCCCTTCTTCCTCTCTTTTTTCCTCAGCTCATCACTGAAGCGAAAATGATGTCTTCCACTGAAACGGACATCTAAAGCTCGCCTTAATGAACGCAGCTTTTGGCGCCCTACCCATCCTTTTCAGGAACCCATCGATCTACGGCTTATCCCGGATCACCAACAGCCTTTTCATCAGCAATGGAGAGGCGGCCAACAACAAACTTTTCCTCTATGCGAACCGCATCACCACCATAATTAACGCCACGGTGGAGGTGGTCAGCACCTATTTCCCAGACATTTACTACGTCCATGTCCCTGTCCTGGACTGCCCCACCGCTCGAATTTATGACTTCTTTGACCCCGTAGCTGATAAGATCCACACCGTGGAACAGAACCAGGGCCGGACCCTGGTGCATTGCGCAGCGGGCGTCAGCCGCTCGGCTGCCCTCTGCATCGCCTATCTGATGAAATATCACTCCATGTCTCTGTCGAACGCCCACGCCTGGGTCAAGTCCTGCCGGCCCGTTATCCGCCCAAATCTCGGTTTCTGGGAACAGCTGATCGAATACGAGTACAACCTCTTTGGGAAAAACAGCGTCAAGATGATCCAGTCTCCTTTGGGTCTGATTCCTGACCTCTACGAAAACGAGGTTAGAGTCATGATAGCGCTGTGAGAGACCCAGCAGGGGTGCGCACCAGCCAAGGCGTGTTTGCATTCATGGAGCCAAGTCCCGATCAAAATAAATCCATGCGCAACCTTGGCTAAGTTTGTCACACAAAGTGGGGCTTGGCAACCACCTTGGCCAGAAGGGGGAATTTGACCAGGCGATCTTCTGCTTTTTTCTTTTCCATAAATAAAAACAACGGATATTGGAAGGAAAAAAAATATATGACACCATTAGATTTGCTCCTTCTTTATCTTGGGCTCCGGAATAAATCCTGCAGCAAAAATCTTGGCTGTTTGGATCAATATGGCTTCTTTGTGGGTTGGGGTTCAACAGAGCAGCCTGTGGTAGCCCCAGACCTTTGGGCGAGATAAATCCCTTTTGTGAACTTTTGCTGCGTTTTTCCAGCCGTGTTAGGAAAACTGCAGGCAGACTTTCTAAACGTCTGAATTCCTTCCCTGCTTAGAAGGAAGTATGTCCGACTCTCCCGTTCAGCCTTTTGGCTGCTTTAACATAAAGGATCCTCCAATAATTGATTTACTTGGGCGTGTAGCCCTTTCGTGTTATTAAATATTTCAACTTAAATGTATTAGACTGCTTGTGTTTAATGGTTCACTTTGACCAACAGTTCTTCCATTCCTCTTTAGGAGATGCTTTGGACTACAGGTCCCATTAGCCGGCCTTGGGGGTGGGGGTGATGGGGATTGCCTCTCTCGCAACAGATTGCCCTTCTGGTTGGTGGGTCGTCCCCTCCACCTAAAATCCAAAGCTCTTTTTCTGTTCTTTGTTTGCATCTTCTCCACCTTGTCACAATCTTGCCAGGCAGCCCTTGGTTTTATTTTGAATTTGTTACTTTTTTTCCAGTCTATTTTTTTCTTTTAAGAAAAATAAATAAATCCAGGACTGGTTTGTTTTGCTTTGTTTTTTTAACTGGCTTTCTAGGGATTCTGCTAAAATGTTATAATAGAGTTTCTGATACATAGTGTCTTGCCCAGTGAAAGAAATTGACTCAAATTTGAAACTATTTCTTCCTTTTTCTATTATTGGAACTCTTCCCAGCCACAGTTAAATGTTTTCAAAAGAGGTTTGATACATTTATATCCCCATCGTAAGGATTTTAATAACTTCTCAACCTGCTTCCAGAAGCTATAAATGGAAGTTTTTATGAAGAGACTGGATAACCATTTATCTGAAATGGTATAGGGTTTCCTGCCCTGAGCAGGGAGAGGGTTGGACTAGAAGACCTCCAAGGTCCCTTCCAGCTCTATTATTATTATTATTATTATTATTATTATTATTATTATTATTATTATTATTATTATTATTATTATTATCATCCCACAGCAATTGCTCACTGTATTTTCTTCCACTGTTAAGAAGGAAAAACATACAGAAAAGAGAAACTATTCTCCTTTTATTTAGCTGTTGTTTTGTGATTAATTCGGGATTTGGGAGAAATGTCCCTTTGACTGGCTCCTCTGGTCCAAGCCTCTGCTCCAGTTCAAAATATGGAGTTGTGTTGTTTTGTGGAGACTGTACTGATAGCAAGTGGGAGGGTCTTGTGGCAGGACTTTGATTCTCTTCACCCCCAAGCCCAGCTGGGAAAAGCAGGAAAGTCTGCCTTCTCGTGGACACCTTTGATCAACCCCTGATCAAGAATTCTAGGGACTTATTATGATTCCTACAACTCGGTGCTTTTTTCCTAGGGGCACTCAGTGTACACCTTTGATTAAGGAATATACATAATAAGCAAACACCAGTAAAACTGAGTCAGAGCAGCGAAGTCTGCCCTCCTGTGGCCAGTGTGTGCTATAACATTTGGCAAAGAAGCCCTGGAGTGGCTTATTTTTATTCTTTCATTCCCTTCCTTTGATGAAAGCTAAAAGCAGCCACAGAAGAAGCTGTCAGGAATATAAAAGATAATTCCTGGAGCTAAAATTTCATTTCTAATAGGACGCGGAGGATGGCAAAACAGGGAATGCTGCCCTCCTGTGGCCAGATAGGTCCATGGCATCTTCTTAAAAACTTCCAGTGTTGGAGCACTCACAACTTCTGGAGGCAGGTTGTTCCATTGGTTAATTGTTCTAACTGTCAGAAAATTTCTCCTTAGTTCTAGGTTGCTTCTCTCCTTGATTAGTTTCCATCCATTGCTTCTTGTCCTGCCTTCAGGTGCTTTGGAGAATAGCTTGACTCCCTCTTCTTTGGGGCAACCCCTGAGATATTGGAAGACTGCTGTCATGTCCACCCTAATCCTTCTTTTAATTAATCTAGACATACCCAATTCCAGCAACCGTTCTTTGTATGTTTTAGCCTCCAGCCCCCTGATCATCTTTGTTGCTCTTCTCTGCACTCTTTCCAGAGTCTCAACATCTTTTTTTACATTGTGGTGGCCAAAATTGGATGCAGTATCCCACTTCCAGTAATGTTGGGAGGGGTGTGTGTCCCATCTCTAACGCAAAACCACTTTTGAAGTTTGAAACTGGTTGTCTGAAGACGAAGGCTTTTAGATTTAACCAATATCCCCTTGTTGGAAGAAGTCTTTCTCTCTCCTGTCACCGATCCAAGAGACAACGGCATGGATAGAAACTTGGAGAAAGGGATCAGGTCTCTCTTGGTAGTGTGGCATCCACACAATTCAGCCAGAAGTTGGCACAACTGATATGATAAAAGAATCCCTGGTACACAATGGGATGCAAATTTCCAGACTGCACCTGAGAGAGCAAATGGAAACAAAACAAAGCACATTAGTCGGAAGGGAAGGGGCAAAATGTTTGCAGATACCTGTATACAAAAAGGAGTTAAGTCTTTTCTTTTTCTGCTCCACATCTGCTCAGCTCAGGCAAAGTTCTATTCTATTCTATTCTATTCTATTCTATTCTATTCTATTCTATTCTATTCTATTCTATTCTACTCTACTCTACTCTACTCTACTCTACTCTACTCTACTCTACTCTACTCTACTCTGCATTCTATTCTATTCTGTTCTGTTCTGTTCTGTTCTGTTTATTCCATTCCATTCTATTCTATTCTATTCCACCATTTATTTCTATTCTGTTCTATTCTATTCCCTATTCTGTTTTCTATTCTATTCTATTCTATTCTATTCTATTCTATTCTATTCTATTCTATTCTATTCTATTCTATTCTATTCCATTCCATTCCATTCCATTCCATTCCATTCCATTCTTCTTTCCTGTTCTCTATTCTATTCTATTTTTAAAAAGATATAAAGGAAATTACCTGGGGTTCTTGCTTTACCGCGGTGAGGCAAACTCCACACACTTGGTTAGGCTCACCATTTGCAAGTGTCAAGCAAGGTTCATTCACTGGCACCAGTGGCAGAAGCTGAAAAACATTCCAGCAATCAGGATAAAAGGACAAAATCAAGAGATTGTTCTTGGTTTTCTCTCTTTGACAGCTCGGTTGGTTGCAGAAAAGTCCCAGGTTTATTTTTAAGACTAAGGAAAACCTGAATCTCAAACTTTAGAGCAGCGTTTTTCACTGGCTTCTTTAAGATGCACAGATTTCAAATCCCAGAATTCCCTAGCCAGCTGGCTGGGGAATTCTGGGAGTTAGACCACAGGCCTATCAAAACCATCATAATGTGCTAGATGGACCCATCTTTGGAATTGACCTAAAGCTGTTTCTTCTGCCTGATGGAGCAGCCTGGAAAATTATCAGCTTCCAATCCCAACATTGTTTTAAAAAATGCCTCTGTGCTTCACCCAGCCCTGCAGCGAGATGGGCAGCAAACACATTTAATAAATACATGTAATAAATAAATCTATCTTCTGGAAGAACAGGTCTGTAGTGGTGTCCCCATGAGCTCTTAGCTGCCCAAAGTCTTTTGCTGAGATGCGCAGCTATAGAAATCAAGCTGTAAACCACCTTGAGTCTCCAGTAATAGAGCAATATATAAATATTTGGATAAATAAACGACTGCAAAAATGTTGTTTCCCCGTGACCCATTCTTATCCTCCCTCCCCACGTCTCCATTTTCCCCTTAGGTCCACTGGAGTTTCTCCACACAGACTGGAATCCCTTACCAACAGCTGGAAGGCAGAGCGACCAAACACGAGAAAAGACAACAGATTATTCCAAGCTAAATCCACCTCGCGGAACTTTTGCAAGAGCAGCTCGCTTGCTAATTTCCGAGCATTCATGGCCTCTGCCAAGCGCCTGGAGATCTGATATATCTCCGACAATCCTGCAGGTGAGAACAAACAAAGAGGGGAATTATTTAGAAGTGAGTCCAAGGCAGAGGAGCAGTTTGGTGTAGTGGTTAAGGCACTAGGCTAGAAACCAGGAAACAACGAGTTCTAATCCTGATTTAAGCACATAGCCTCTTGGGTGACCTTGGGGTGGTCAATCTCTCTCTTAGTCCAGGCAGAAGTAGGACAGGACAAGCCCCTTCCACAAATGTTGCCAAGAAAATTACAAGGACTGCAAATTTATTCTAAGTCACAACTCTCTTGTTCTAAAGCAGTGATGCTCAGCCTCGGCCACTTTATGCTGTGCTGGCTGGGGGAATTCTGGGAATTGAAGTCCTCTGACCATCCCAGCCCATTGTCTGTCCATATCTCCAGCAGCAGGCTGTTCCATCCATAATAGCTCTCACCATAAGGATCTTCCTTCTGATTTTCTTGGGATGTGCAAAGCTTCACCCATTGGTGATTGGGCACTATGGAAAATAAATTTCTACCTTTCTGGATCAATTTCTCCCCATCCTTCCATCTCTTTCTAGCCATCTATCTTAGGCTTACTAAGTGCCTTCTTAAGGGATCCCGAGTCTTCTCTTCTGCAGGCTAAACTCGTCCAGTTCCTTTAATCATTCTTTGGAGGGCTTCTTGCCTCCAAACCCAGAAGACGTCAAAGTGGAGAAAGGCTACTATTCCCCCAGAGTGAAGCAAGTCCATGAGACAAAAATTGTGTTGAAGCAAAAAGCTACCTTTTCTGATTGAAGATGGCAGTACCGTTTCAGCCAGCGGTGACAGTCCCACAAACTCATCTGCAAGGAATTGTCTACACCCCCTTATCTTTCAACCAAGATTCCCCTCTCAGACATAGTTAGAATATTCACATTTGTAGGCTACTGGCACATCCCCAAAACTTGGAATGAGCATGTGAGATATTCAGGAGATTCAAGAAAAGGAGATAGAGGGAAAGACTTATCTGCTGTACCCCAAATATAGGCTGTTCCAGGGGCAGAAAGCAACACCTCTCTACAGACAGATGGCTGGCTGATGCCTGCAAGGATTTCATTGGCCTCCCAGATTACCTGCACAGGAGACACAGAGAGACAGGTGAGCACATTCCAAGAGATCAACCATTTCCACACGCTATGGCTGGATCTATTCTACGAACGACAGATGGAGGCGTGGAAGGAGAAGAAACATTTCCAAGTGGGCAACTAAGAACCGTGACAGACAAAAAGTGGGGTTTGGGGAGGAGCAGAAAACACCCACCTTGTAGATCTGTTGCAAACATCGAATCAGATGTGTGGTTAATGAATTCATCTGCTTAGGCGGTCTGGAAAGGAACAATTTCCTCAATAGTCCGACTTCCAGGCTAACGAGAATTCATGCTTTCTTTCCTTTTCCTGTATTAACCTGAATTTTATTCAGAGGCAACACCTAAGTATCAATTAACTCCAGGAAGCAGAGGAAAACTCAACAAATTCTCAGACTTTCCAAAGAAAGTTATTTACTTACCCGGATTTCTGCTCTTCGCACTTCCTTTAGAGAAAGGAGATAAATTAACACCTCTCAGGTTTACCTTTCCTGGAACCTGGCTAGGACTTTAGGTCACGTGACAAAACCAGGATTCTGATCAAGCAGGTTTTCCCACTTGAGGTCAATTTAATCCATTCCGGGGATGGGACAAAACTCTCACGAGTAACAGGCGTTTGAATAGTCCCTATTCAGCGGCCACTTTTCTCCGATATTCACCTGAATCCTCACCTGGTAAGAGGCAATTTTCCACACATGAGGAAGAACGAATTTCATTTCCAAGGGAGGGGATAAAAATGGTTAGGTCCCGTAAACCAAATAAAATCAGGTTTTGCTTTCACTTTTTTAAAAAGAAAATCTGCAAAGACAGACTTGTTATATTCACGTTTCTAAATAGTTTTGCCTTGAAGTGATCCTGATTTTCTATAAAACGGGCTTGCAACTTTGCCAACTTTAGGGCTTGTGGACTTCAACTCCCAGAATTCCCCCAGTCCACAAACTTAAAAATGTACCAAGGTTGCACATCCTTGCTATGAAAACTTAAGACCAAAATTCCGGTCACTTTAAATAACGTATAAGATGTGTACTTCTTCGTTTAGCCACAAGCTTGTATTTATTTGAGAGTTAGGATGAAGATATTAAGCAGCTGTTATCTCTCAACTAGGAAGTAATTCATCTAATTCTTATTTTATTTTGGCTCCAACCTGTTTAAAAGGCCGGCAGAGGGAGGATTAGGAAAAATAAACAAAAAAAAAAAACCCCAATGGATGGTTTCCAATAACTTCTTGACCTGCATTAGCGTGTGCTGCAAAATCCATCCAATGCTGGCTTATTCCTAGCTTGGTGGGATGTGGAAACGCAGCCTTGGGATCTAAGGTTGCCCAGTATGATTAGCACAACGCCTTCCCCTCTTTTGGCATCCAATACAATATAAAAACTTCAAGCCAGCAAATGTTTTCTTCCAGCAGAGAGCAAGTCATAATGCCGGCTGATGTTTCCAGTTTCAGCGGCTGATCGGCAGAAAGCCGGGCCCCGTTTTGCCCTGGATGCCAGCATTTTTTTTAGTGACAACCGTAAAAGCTCAAATCACACACAAAAGAAACATCTTCTTTCAGAGGGCCTGGATTGTTCAGCATTGAACTGCTGCCAAAGGATGCTTTCCCCCCACCCCACCCCTTTTTTTTTTGCAACCTTCCTGTCTGTTTTTCATTTCCATAGGCTGGATCGCATGCATATTATCCAGCTTGCTTGTAAAAGCTTCTGCTTCTGGCTGTTCCAGGCTGCTTGAAATGCTGGGCGGTCGTTGCTACAGCAACCAGCAGCTCTCGAAAAGGACCGTTGTTTGTCTGCACCGTGCAAAAAGCAAATCCCCCCCCAAGCCTTAATAATTCTCCTTTCCCGGAAGGAAAGTCATTCGTTTCCCAAAACAGCTTCTCTCGGCTGTCAGTCTTTTGCAAGGGCCGGAGGTGCGTCATATATTCCCAGTCCTCCCTTTCCTCCCGGTCATCCAAGGACACCAGGCACAAATAAAGACAAAAATAGAACTTTATTTTGAGACAAACACAAGCTGAGATGCTAACAAGCTGCCTGGTGCTTATTGGCTGGGAAGGGCTTCAACCTGCGTTGGTAGCAAATCCTTCAAACTCTTCTGGCTGTGACGTCCAGCCTTACTTGAAACACACACACACACCCCGGATAGAGAAACAATCTTGGAGTTGTTTTGTGACCGTCACAACACCAATCTCTGCCCTTGCAAGGCCTGGCCATCAAAGAAGGGACAAAGGATCATTCAACAGGAAGAAGCGATTCTGGAAAAGTCCCGGCCCAAGGATGACGAACGTCCCAGTTCTATCAGGAGATCCGTCAAGGATCAGTTAATTCAGAAAAGAGTGAGGAAGGAACCCCCCATTGGAACTTTGATCACTTCCTTCCTCTAAAGAATCCATTGCGGTGTTTCTCAACCTCAGCCCCTGGAAGATGGGTGACTTCAGCTCCATTTATTGAGGGGTTGTCTTGGGTGCCGGCAACTTCTGGTGTCTCTGCAAACTGCACAGTTCTCACTTGGTGCCACCAGTACGACTCCAGATCATACTGGGATAATTCAGTGGCAAAACGCCTAATTTTTAAGCCGCAGTTTTCTACTTCATTTGGTAGGAAAAACAAGCGCAAGAGAGCTGAGTTAAAAGCCTGTGGCTTAACGTTCCTATCTGGCCCTTTGATCCCCACTTAACTCCCCCTTAGCAAAAAGGGGGGCCCCAAATTGCCTTCTTAACGCAACAGTGACAATCCACTTCAAAATTGCAGCCCCTCCCGCCTCCCTTCTCCAAAATAATAGCTTAGAATAGCCCTGGCGCCTTGTGCGGATCCCAAGTCATGTCCTTCTGATGTGTTGGAATTACAGTTAAATCTCCCAGGAATCCTTGGGAAATCTGGCAGTATTAAAATAAATAAATAAACCATAAACAAACTCTGCAAATGATTCACTAAATCTGTAGGACCTCTTATTAAGCAGTGCCTCTCAACCGTGAGCCGCTGGAAGATGTGCGGACTTCAACTCCCAGAATTCTCCAGCCAGTCGAGCTCGGCTGGCTGGGGAATTCTGGGAGTTGAAGTTCACACATCTTCCAGTGGCCACGGTTGAGAAACACTACTATTAATGAAAAATAACTTACTCTCTTTCCAAAGACAAGATTTGGGAAGACAGTAAAGCAGGAATCTAGCTTAAAAAAACGTAAACAAAGCTAAAACTTTCTGACATCTTGTATTTTTGTGAAAAATCAGAATTCCCACTTGTGCTGGGCAGGCAAAAGTATTCCTAAAAACTGTCTACCGTAGTTCTTGCCCAGAATTACAAAATGATTAAAACAACAGGGACCTGTTTAGAGAAAAAAAAGCTTCTTTCTCAATGGCTTTTTGGCCGGACGTAGACAATCCTAGATGGCTTCGGCTAAGCCCTCCAGTGGTTTGGACTCAAAAGATGTGGTACAGCCCCACTTTTGAGGTTTCTAAGCCATAATCTATGGCTCTGCTTGTTGTGCTTATTCAGCCTATAGTGGTTGACTCAATGCAAAATAGGGTTGCGCAAATGCAGGCTGTTGTTTCCTGATCCTGACCACCAAGAGGATTTACAGGAGACTCCAAGCCCAGCAGAAAAAGAGGATGAGCTCACAGTCAGAAAGGCAGCTATTCCAGCCGATTCTCACCCCTTACTCCTTTTTGGCTGGGCCCGCCCGCGAGCGCCAGCAAGCGGCGATACGCTCAGAGTGATGGTACATGAGGACGCCCAGAAGAGTCAGGGCGATGCCCGCGTAGCTAAGCAAAGTCAGGCGGCTTCCAAAAAGCCAATGGGAGAGAAGCAGGTTTCCCACCACGTTGAAGTTCCCCAGAACGTGGATGGTGAGGGCGGAGGTCAGCGAGAGGATGCAGAAGCTGGCCAGGTTGTAAAGGACCGAGCCCAGGCAGCTGAGCAGCACGCAGGTCCACAGGCTGGCTTCGTAGGCTAGCAGGCCCTCCCAGGCTGAGCCCACCTCCATGCCCAGCGCGGCCACAAAGAGGAGGCAGAAGCTGGGCAGCGAAGTCAGGCACAGGAGCCTCAAGGAATCCAGGTGCTCTTCCTGCAGGAGGGTACCTGTGGGGCAGACAAGGGGTTCAGCAAAGCTTCAGGTTCTGGGCCAAGAGAAAAGAAGTGTCAACCGTCCCGTTGGTAAATAAATGCAGCAAAAGAAACTCCTGGGACGTTTGTTTTTACCAAGAATACAACTTTACTGATAATTCCACATTAGGCACAGAAGTAGCAAAGCCAGTTCTAAAGTACCAGCATTGGTAAAATCCCCTTTTTTACCTATATGTGTGTCTGTGTCTGTGTGTGGATGTGTATGTGTGTGGATGGATAGATGGATAGATAGATGGGTAGATAGATGGATGGATGAATGGATGGATCGATGGATGGGAGGGAGAGAGCGAGATGCTTAGCAAATCAATGGTAGAACAATGTTTCTCAACCTTGGCCATTTGAAGAAGGGTGGACTTCAGCTCCCAGCATTCCCCAGCTGCGGAATGCTGGGAGTTGACGCCCACCCATCTTCAAGGGGCCACTTTTGTGGAATAAGCTCCATGCGCCACTTACTTTGCTGAATGGACTTCAGGCCTCGCAGGAAAGTGGCAGCGAAGAGGAAGCAGCAGCCGGCTTGATTGAAGTGCACCTCCCCCACGATGCTCAGGGAGGCCCCCACGCAAATGGGGCCCATGGCCAGGTACTGCAGGGGGTGGTGGCGCTTCCCCAGCAGCAGCTCCGAGAGCGTCAGGGTGAAGAGCGGGGTGGTGGTGTAGACCATCTGGGCAAAATCCAGCTGGACGTGGTTGAGTCCCAGATTCCCGAAAGCCACGCTGGAACAGAAGGTCAGGCTCAGCAGGATTTGGGCCTCGGCCCGAAACCCGACCTCCCGGCCTCCCGGCCTGGGGGACCGGGCCTCGGACCGCTCCCCGGACGGGTGGTGGTGTCGACAGTCGTACACGTTCCTCCTGTCGTTCTGGCCCATCGCCTTTAACACCTACCGCTTCTAGGTGAATAAGTCCGACCTGTACCATCTCGGGCACCGGTCGGTGCAGTCCTGGGTGGCCACGAGGGGCAGGGTGTGGTGCCATCGGGAAAGCAGCCTCAGCCCCCAGGGCTGCGCGGGGTCTTGCTTCCAGGGCGAGAGCAGCCAAGCTTCGGGGGTGGCCGAGCCCATCACGGCATCATGCTTCTTCCCCGCCGGCAGGCACATTGGGGATGGCAGCCTGGCACGGGCAGAGGTGAGTTCCTTTGCAACCAGGACGAAGTCTGGAGACCCCACCGAGGGTCTCCTCCCCCCCCCGTCTGGAGCGTCCTTTCCTAGCCAAGGAGGGCTGCTCGGCTGCAGCTTCCTCAGAGCTGCTCCGCCAGATCCTTCGGTGGAGGTGCTGCTGCTTCCGAGCGATCCTTCCTCTCGCCTCCTTGCTCTCCGTCCCTCCCTGTGAGTCACCGGGATCAGATTTCCTTGCCTTGCCTTGTGGTCTTCTCCCAGGCCGTCTAGAACATGCTGGGAACTCCCAGGGTGTTTGGGGTCTTGGAGACAAACAGGCTCCTCAAATGGCAAGGATAGCTGCAGACCTTCTCATTCAGCTCTGGAGACCCTTTGGAAACGGCCCGGAATAAGCCAGTCGTCTCCCCTGGTGCTGCAGCTGGGTTGTCTTCCAGCCTTCTCTGGCAGGCCGGCTTGGGCTCAGCCACGTGGGGGTTCCTCCACGCAAGAGAGGAAGCGACACAAAGTTTGGGCTGGCAGAAAGCTCCACCTTTGGGTAACCAGGGAGTGAATCAGAGAGGACACCCTCAACTCTGAGGCCAGTCCTGTGCCGAAGCCAGGTGGAAGCTGGGGTCTGGCCAGGCCAGCTCATCGAAGGCCTGGAGCTGTGGAAATGAAAAAATGCAGACAGTAATGAGAAAGGAAAACCGGAGTCAAGATGTTCCTAAACACCCAGTCGTCTTAGAAACTCAGCAACCACCAAGAGACCGTGTCACTATCCAAGTTTAGCTTGTTCCAAGGAGAAGCCACACAGCAGGGCAACCCCCTTCCTTCCCCACTGTTTCTTTCCCTCCCTCCTCTTTTCCTCCCTCCCCCTCCCTCCCTCCCCTCGATTGCGTGGGATGTTAACTTCAAATCTTCCTTGTGCTCTGTTCCCCATCCATGTCCACATTCTTGTGATATTTTTTGTCTTTAGACCTGCATAACCACAAACTCTCATTATTCAGCTGAAGAGGGCTGCCTTTGAGCAAGCAAAGACTCAGCTGGACCTGTTTCATCATCAATGTTATTTATAATGTGTTCATCAAACCTGTTTACATATTCGGGAAACGGCAACAATGAAATTGCAATTCGTAACTATTCGATAGAATCCATTCATTCTGGAAGACCTTCTTGGCTCTATCCCGGTCTTCAGAGGAATAGGAGTGGGATTTCGCGGCTGCCCAAAAGCCTCTTCTAGATTTTTTAATGAAATATCTTCTTTCGTTATTTGACCCGCCGCATATAACTCACGGTTGCAATGTTTGAGTTGCAAATAAAGTCACTAACTAAAGTTTGAAACGAATGGTCTAAAGACACAAAAAAAATCACAAGGACGTGGCCCTTTATGGGGAACAGAGCACAAAGAAAATGTGAAGTTAACATCCCAAGCAATTGAGGGGAGGGAGGAAAAGAAATAGTTTGGAAGGAAGGAAGGAAGGAAGGAGAGATGAGACAAGGAAGGAAGGAGACATGAAGGAAGGAAGGAAGAAGGGAAGGAGGGAGGGAGAAAGGAAGGAAGGAAAGAAGGAAGGAAAGAATCCACAGAGCAGCAGATTTTCTACCATTATGAAGACAGGGGGGGGGGGGGTTACCTGGTTCTCTGGACGGTTTCCTCTTTTCCGGCTCCAGCAATTCAGAAGAAGCCACCTGGCCGTTCCAAGCGGTGAGACCAAATTCAGCTTGCTGGAGAGGCTGTCTCAGCCCCTGGAAGGCCCAACCTGGGCAGGCTGTGCTGCTGGTCCCACTGGGTAGGGCTCCCCCCCTCTCCCCCCCGCTGCCTCCTGCCTGAGGATTCTTCAGGATCGGTGCAGCACAGGGCCAGCCTCCTCCTGCAGCTTCCCCCAAAGCCCTCAGCTCTCAATGGAGATGGGAAAGCGAGGAGGGGACGGCATGTCTGCACCCAGCCAGGAAACTCAAACTCAGGGGAAGAAGGTGGAGTGTTTTTTCTTTCCTTTTCTTCCCTCTGCATGAGAGATTTCTGCTCGCAAAGAATGACTACTTCAGCTAATCCCATCTTGGGGGGGGGAGGAAGAAAGGAAACAAACAGCCAAACAAAGAGATCAAGCTGGTTTTCGTTTTCACTAGCACAAGGGCTGGTGAGTCACTGACAAGCTTATGCCCGTAACTCTGCCTCACAAAAGGCACGGCCCAGGAAAAGGCCACAACTCTGGCATCAGTTATCTTCCGCACACACCCCTCCCTCCCGGCCCCTCTGCCATTTGCCTTGCCAGAAAATCAGCAAGGCAAAGAGGAATCGCTTGGCGGAAGGGGTTTTTTCTGCAGCGTCCCAGTTTGCCCTGGCCCAAACAGGGATTCCAGGAAGTAGAAGCCAGAAAGGCAGCCCTGAGAACCCTTATCCCGAATAACAGTTGGGATGGGAGAAGCCAGCAACCTTTCTCCCCAAACCCTAGGGCTGAATCATTGCCTCCTTTAATGCTGAAATTACTGTTTTTCTTACCCTAGCCTGGAAAGCTAGATGGGTGCAATTTTCTTCAGTCAAATGCTTGATTTAACAAACAAAACAAACCCGGAAATGTCCGTTTTATTATGCGCTTATCCGATTCACTCATTTACCTCTGTTTACTCTCCTGCTCAAGCAGAGAGTTGGACTAGATGGCCTCCATGGTCCCTTCCAACTCTGTTATTCTAGGTCTAGGTCAAGGTCTACTCTACTCCCTTTGTCTGACTTTTGGAAGAGTTACTGTGTTTTCTTATCTCAATGCCTGTGCTATTAACTTCCCCCAGGGAAGGTCAGGATGCATTTTGTAATGTAAATAAATAACCCCCCCCTTCCTGATCATCTCCCCCCTTTAAAAAAAAAGCCTCAAGCTGCTGACAAAAACTTATCTTTGAAGATGCCTCCATCACTGGTAACCCAGATGCAAATTCTCAGTCAGTTTCTGAGGTGCACTTTAACTGTCAACTCCTTGTTCACTTCTGACCCACATTGCATATTCCCTGGCAAGCCGCTTCCCTTTCGCAAGGCTTTGTTCCGAGCCCAATTCGTTCTTTTCCCAATTCCCAACTGGGAAATTTTCAATTTTTCACCACGGTTACCCAGTCCTTATTCAGTCCAGCGACTTTTAAAATGGGTGGGCTTTCATTCTGGGAATCCCCCTCGATCTTAAAAGTCCCCGAGGTTCAGATATGGTGCCTCAGCACTCCATCCCTTCGGCTCGGGCCTTCTCTCATTTTGAGGAGGGTTGATTATGTTAGAGGTGGCAGAACAGATTGCTTGTACCTCTGGAAGCGGGTGGTTTTCGAACTACCCCAGTGGGGAGAAACAGATGATGGGGTGGGAGGAGAGACAGGAGGAGGAGGAGGAGGAGGACAGAGCTGTTGGGTTTTTGGTGCTCTCTGAGCTGGGCAGTTTTCTTGCAGACTTTTTCATTACCAAACTAGATAACATCATCAGTACTAAAAGGCAGAGGAAGAGGAAGGGGAAGAGGAGGAGGAGGAGGAGGAGAAAAGGAGCAGGAAGAGGAGGAAGAGAAAAGGAGATGGGGAAGAGGAGGAGGGGAGAAAGAGCGAGCATCCCACCTTACCTTTCTCCGCGCGGGGACGCTCGCTCCGGCCCCACCTGCCGCTTGACAGCGCAGCCCAACCCAGCCAGCCCTCCGCCTTTCCCCGCAGGACCCCGCTTCGGCTGCCTCGCCCGGCCGAAGCTGCCACCCGCGGGGTCCCTCCAGGGCGCCTCAAGGTGACCCTCCTTACCTGCGCGGGGCTCCGGCGACGCCCGGCCGGCTGCTAGGCGCGAGGCCCGGNAAACCCGGAGCCGGGCTTTGGGCTGGAGGGCCGGAGGGCCGGACCCCCTGGCCCGGAGCCTGGCGAGGGGCCTGCCCACCACCACAGCTGTCAGCATGTGCAAGGAGGACAGCAAGACCGGGTAGCGGAAATTGTGGATGGCGAAGATCCACTTATTCAGGCTGGACATGGTAGAGCCCGTGGCCAGCCACGTCAGGACAGTGGCCACGAGGGGCAGGGTGTGGTGCCATCGGGAAAGCAGCCTCAGCCCCCAGGGCTGCGCGGGGTCTTGCTTCCAGGGCGAGAGCAGCCAAGCTTCGGGGGTGGCCGAGCCCATCACGGCATCGGGCTTCTTCCCCGCCGGCAGGCACATTGGGGATGGCAGCCTGGCACGGGCAGAGGTGAGTTCCTTTGCAACCAGGACGAAGTCTGGAGACCCCACCGAGGGTCTCCCCCCCCCAGTCTGGAGCGTCTTTTCCTAGCCAAGGAGGGCTGCTCGGCTGCAGCTTCCTCAGAGCTGCTCCGCCAGATCCTTCGGTGGAGGTGCTGCTGCTTCCGAGCGATCTTTCCTCTCGCCTCCTTGCTCTCCGTCCCTCCCTGTGAGTCACCGGGATCAGATTTCCTTGCCTTGCCTTGTGGTCTTCTCCCAGGCCGTCTAGGACATGCTGGGAACTCCCAGGGTGTTTGGGGTCTTGGAGACAAACAGGCTCCTCAAATGGCAAGGATAGCTGCAGACCTTCTCATTCAGCTCTGGAGACCCTTTGGAAACGGCCCGGAATAAGCCGTCGTCTCCCCTGGTGCTGCTGCTGGGTTGCCTTCCAGCCTTCTCTGGCAGGCCGGCTTGGGCTCAGCCACGTGGGGGTTCCTCCACGCAAGAGAGGAAGCGACACAAAGTTTGGGCTGGCAGAAAGCTCCACCTTTGGGTAACCAGGGAGTGAATCAGAGAGGACACCCTCAACTCTGAGGCCAGTCCTGTGCCGAAGCCAGGTGGAAGTTGGGGTCTGGCCAGGCCAGCTCATCGAAGGCCTGGAGCTGTGGAAATGAAAAAATGCAGACAGTAATGAGAAAGGAAAACCGGAGTCAAGATGTTCCTAAACATCCAGTCGTCTTAGAAACTCAGCAACCACCAAGAGACCGTGTCACTATCCAAGTTTAGCTTGTTGCAAGGAGAAGCCACACAGCAGGGCAACCCCCTTCCTTCCCCACTGTTTCTTTCCCTCCCTCCTCTTTCCCTCCCTCCCCCCCTCCCTCCCCTCGATTGCGTGGGATGTTAACTTCAAATCTTCCTTGTGCTCTGTTCCCCATCCATGTCCACATTCTTGTGATATTTTTTGTCTTTAAACCTGCATAACCATAAACTCTCATTATTCAGCTGAAGAGGGCTGCCTTTGAGCAAGCAAAGACTCAGCTGGACCTGTTTCATCACCAATGTTATTTATAATGTGTTCATCAAACCTGTTTACATATTCGGGAAACGGCAACAATGAAATTGCAATTCGAAACTATTCGATAGAATCCATTCATTCTGAAGACATTATTGGCTCTATTCCGATCTTCAGAGGAATAGGAGTGGGATTTTGTGGCTGCCCAAAAGCCTCTTCTAGATTTTTAATGAAATATCTTCTTTCGTTATTTGACCTGCCGTGTATAACTCAACGTTTGAGTTGCAAATAAAGTCACTAAATAAAGTTTGAAATGAATGGTCTAAAGACAAAAAAAAAAATCACAAGGACGTGGCCCTTTATGGGGAACAGAGCGCAAAGAAAATGTGAAGTTAACATCCCAAGCAATTGAGGGGAGGGAGGAAAAGAAATAGTGAGGAAGGAAGGAAGGAAGGAAAGAAGGAAGGAGAGATGAGACAAGGAAGGAAGGAGAGATGAAGGAAGGAAAGAGACAGGAAGGAAGGAAGGAAGAAGGGAAGGAGGGAGGGAGAAAGGAAGGAAGGAAAGAAAGAAGGAAGGAATCCACAGAGCAGCAGATTTTCCACCATTATGAAGACAGAGGGGGGGTACCTGGTTCTCTGGACGGTTTCCTCTTTTCCGGTCCAGCAATTCAGGAGAAGCCACCTGGCCGTTCCAAGCGGTGAGACCAAATTCAGCTTTCTGGAGAGGCTGTCTCAGCCCCTGGAAGGCCCAACCTGGGCAGGCTGTGCTGCTGGTCCCACTGGGTAGGGCTCCCCCCCTCTCCCCCCCCCGCTGCCTCCTGCCTGAGGATTCTTCAGGATCGGTGCAGCACAGGGCCAGCCTCCTCCTGCCGCTTCCCCCAAAGCCCTCAGCTCTCAATGGAGATGGGAAAGCGAGGAGGGGACGGCATGTCTGCACCCAGCCAGGAAACTCAAACTCAGGGGAAGAAGGTGGAGTGTTTTTTTTTTCCTTTTCTTCCCTCTGCATGAGAGATTTCTGCTCGCAAAGAATGACTACTTCAGCTAATCCCATCTTGGGGGGGGGGAGGAAGAAAGGAAACAAACAGCCAAACAAAGAGATCAAGCTGGTTTTCGTTTTCACTAGCACAAGGGCTGGTGAGTCACTGACAAGCTTATGCCCGTAACTCTGCCTCACAAAAGGCACGGCCCAGGAAAAGGCCACAACTCTGGCATCGGTTATCTTCCGCACACACCCCTCCCTCCCGGCCCCTCTGCCATTTGCCTTGCCAGAAAATCAGCAAGGCAAAGAGGAATCGCTTGGCGGAAGGGGCTTTTTCTGCAGCGTCCCAGTTTGCCCTGGCCCAAACAGGGATTCCAGGAAGTAGAAGCCAGAAAGGCAGCCCTGAGAACCCTTATCCCGAATAACAGTTGGGATGGGAGAAGCCAGCAACCTTTCTCCCCAAACCCTAGGGCTGAATCATTGCCTCCTTTAATGCTGAAATTACTGTTTTTCTTACCCTAGCCTGGAAAGCTAGATGGGTGCAATTTTCTTCAGTCAAATGCTTGATTTAACAAACAAAACAAACCCGGAAATGTCCGTTTTATTATGCGCTTATCCGATTCACGCATTTACCTCTGTTTACTCTCCTGCTCAAGCAGAGAGTTGGACTAGATGGCCTCCATGGTCCCTTCCAACTATGTTATTCTAGGTCTAGGTCTAGGTCAATGTCTACTCTATTCCCTTTGTCTGACTTTTGGAAGAGTTACTGTGTTTTCTTATCTCAATGCCTGTGCTATTAACTTCCCCCAGGGAAGGGCAGGATGCATTTTGTAATGTAAATAAATAACCCCCCTCCTTCCTGATCATCTCCCCCCCTTTTTTTAAAAAAAACACTCAAGCTGCTGACAAAAACTTATCTTTGAAGATGCCTCCGTCACTGGTAACCCAGATGCAAATTCTCAGTCAGTTTCTGAGGTGCACTTTAACTGTCAACTCCTTGTTCACTTCTGACCCACATTGCATATTCCCTGGCAAGCCGCTTCCCTTCCGCAAGGCTTTGTTCCGAGCCCAATTCGTTCTTTTCCCAATTCCCAACTGGGAAATTTTCAATTTTTCACCACGGTTACCCAGTCCTTATTCAGTCCAGCAACTTTTAAAATGGGTGGCCTTTCATTCTCGGAATCCCCCTCGATCTTAAAAAGTCCCCGAGGTTCAGATATGGTGCCTCAGCACTCCATCCCTTCGGCTCGGGCCTTCTCTCATTTTGAGGAGGGTTGATTATGTTAGAGGTGGCAGAACAGATTGCTTGTACCTCTGGAAGCGGGTGGTTTTCGAACTACCCCAGTGGGGAGAAACAGACGATGGGGTGGGAGGAGAGACAGGAGGAGGAGGAGGAGGAGGACAGAGCTGTTGGGTTTTTGGTGCTCTCTGAGCTGGGCAGTTTTCTTGCAGACTTTTTCATTACCAAACTAGATAACATTATCAGTACTAAAAGGCATAGGAGGAGGAAGGGGAAGAGGAGGAGGAGGAAGAGAAAAGGAGATGGGGAAGAGGAGGAGGGGAGAAAGAGCGAGCATCCCACCTTACCTTTCTCCGCGCGGGGACGCTCGCTCCGGCCCCACCTGCCGCTTGACAGCGCAGCCCAACCAGCCCTCCGCCTTTCCCCGCAGGACCCCGCTTCGGCTGCCTCGCCCGGCCGAAGCTGCCACCCGCGGGGTCCCTCCAGGGCGCCTCAAGGTGACCCTCCTTACCTGCGCGGGGCTCCGGCGACGCCCGGCCGGCTGCTAGGCGCGAGGCCCGG